GACATGCTGGTAAATTAAGCATTGACCGCTACAGGGTTCTTGTTAGAGAACTCATGAGTCATGCGTGTGATGTTGAACTTTCAATGACTGCTAATCAAAGGGTTAATAGTAGGCAAGTGTAAGGTTTACAAACACTACAAATAATTAGCCTAGTTATTATGGTTCCTTTATGAACAATAAATAAACAGTAATGATAAATCAAATGTGAAAAATACAAAAATATTAAATAATAGGCATAAATAAATGTCATACTTAGTTCAATTTAATATTTTCATACTTGTTTTAACTTTAAATGAAATCAATAAGCTAAGTCACAAAATCATTTGCCTTGTACAGACATAACACTACGCACAGGACTCAAAATGAACATATCGTCATCAGCTTTGAATACCACTGCAAAAAACATAGGCTACATCCATACTCACATTACATGCAAATATCAGCATTAATGTAAACAGCATTGAGTTATCTTAAAACCAGAGCATGGCATCTTGCAAATGTGTAAAGTACAAATTAATCTCTTTAAATATATACCATCCACATGCAAAATTGTCTCTAAAATTCAAAATATTATGCATTGACCCCCTCCTGGCTGCCAATGTTCAGGCTATACCACAGTTTTGAACATTAGCACCTACCTAGTTTTACAGAGCATATTGTGTAATGCTCCACAATTGCTCCATTCTTAATGAACTCAGAACAAAGAGTTCAGACTTTCTGTTCAATGCACTTCAAATGAAACCTATATACCACTGCCTCGTCTCACCGCTTCCAACCATCTGTTACCTATCGTCCTCTCTCTGTCTCTCACACACACACACACACACACACACACACACACACACATTCTATATGTAAAATGAGGTAGAGTGAGGGGAAAGTAGCAATGCTAAATGCAAGCCTTTGATCAAGAGGGTTTGATCACCAATGTGAAATGGCACCACAGAGCAGCATGTAAAGCACAGGCAGATGGCTCTGTCCCCAGACAAGCTATGTGTTTCAAATCTATTACAATTATGTTGTGAATAATTTGTGTACAATTTCTGTATTTGTCTTTTTTTTAAACACTGTCTATAATAGATAAAAGGGTGCAGACTTTGTAACCTAAGTGATAAAAAGCAAAAAAAGAATGAAAGTGTTGTTTAATTAATATATATCCAGAAAAGAAATTCTCCTGGCTCTCAACTAATGGGCCAGGGCAAATTCAGCATACTTCCAAATGCACAGTGCAAAAACTAAAAAAAAAAAATTAAAAAAAAAACTTACATAAATAAAAATTAAATCTTGCATAAAACATAAAATAAAACACTCCCAGTTTCCATGTCAATAAAAAAAGTTTCAAAGCAAGCAGCATTGTCATAATTACTGCAGAAATACAATAAGAATTAAAGCTGCAAGCAGCGATGAAAGGGCCTTCGCACCCAGGCTCACCGCCAAATTGATAAGCAATATAGACGACGCCATTGTTTACAATACAACTGGAGCACATGCCGCTGAGGTGAGGGTCGGGACGTTTAGACGCGCACTAGAGGCGGTTTAGCCAATCACAACACACTGGACCAGCTAACCAATCTGAGCCCATCGCCTATTTCTGAGGGAGGGGCTTCATACAAGCAGGAAATGATCAGCGCATTTATAGGAGAAGGGACAGAGTGGTGTGGAATAAAGGTAAATTATGTGAAAAATAATGCATTTTTAAAAAAAACAAAGCATTAACAAGTTAGACTGCACCCCATAAACACAATAAAGCCTAGAAAAAAAACAGTCAACCACCCCTTTAAAGTGGTAAATATAGGAAGAATATGCCAAAGTCATTTATATCTGCCAAATTTCCTGCTGCCAACAGGTGGCGCTATGATTATAACTGAATATTGGCCTTAAGATATGTTAAGGCCAGGACTCTTATCAAACATGTGAAGTTTGGGGCAGATCAGACATTGCATGCTCAAGTTAGTATGAAACAAGTCATTTCCTGTTGCCAGCAGGTGGCGCTATAATTATAACTGAATATTGGCCTTTAGATTTGTTCAGGCCAGGACTCTTATAAAACGTGTGAAGATTGGGGCAGATTGGGCATTGTATGCATGAGTTACAACAACTTCCTGTTTGATGGTATTAAAAGCATGCTTTAGCACTTAGTAGATGTTGCTAGCATGCTTGAACATATTTCTAGCATGTTTAGCACACAATGGCATATTTTACTGTGTTGCTAAAAGTGCATCACAGTATTAAACATGTCACTGCCCATTGCCAGTAGGTCGCGCTATAACTATAACTGAATATGAGCATGTAGATGTCTTCAGGCCAGGAGTCTAATCAAATGTGTGAAGTTTGAGGCAGATTGGACATTGTATGCATGAGTTGCAACAACTTACTGTTTGATGGCGTTAAATAGCATGCTTTAGCACTTAGTAAATGTTGCTAGCATGTTTGAGCATGTTTCTAACATGTTTAGCACACAATGGCATATTTTACTGTCTTGCTAATAGTGCATCACAGTGTTAAACATGTCACTTCCCATTGACAGTAGGTGGCGCTATGACTATAACTGAATCTTGGCATGTTGATGTGTTCAGGCCAGTACTCTCATCAAACATGTTAAGTTTCGGACAGATTGGACACTGCATGCCTGAGTTACATCAACTTCCTGTTTCACTGCATTGCTTTATTACTTAGCTAACTGTTGCTAGCATGTTTTAGCATGTTTCTAGCATGTTGCCAGCCTATTTAACACTTGCTGACGCTTTTTAATATGTTCCTAGGAGTCCATAACAGTGTTAACCATGACACTTCCTGTTGCCAGGAGGTGGCGCTATGACTATAACTGAATATGGGCATGGCCATGTGTTCAGGACAGAACACCTATCAAACGTGTGAAGTTTGGGGCAGATCGGACATTGCTTGTCTGAGTTACAGCAACTTCCCGTTTCATGGCGAAACATCAAATTTTGCCAGGCCGCCAGGGACATGCCCTTTGACGAAAACTCAAGATCTTCGCAATTTAACGTCACAAAGGCCTTATGATAACCCTCACCAAATTTAGCATGCTTTAGCACTTAGTAGATGTTGCTAGCATGCTTGAACATATTTCTAGCATGTTTAGCACACAATGGCATATTTTACTGTGTTGCTAAAAGTGCATCACAGTATTAAACATGTCACTGCCCATTGCCAGTAGGTCGCGCTATAACTATAACTGAATATGAGCATGTAGATGTCTTCAGGCCAGGAGTCTAATCAAATGTGTGAAGTTTGAGGCAGATTGGACATTGTATGCATGAGTTGCAACAACTTACTGTTTGATGGCGTTAAATAGCATGCTTTAGCACTTAGTAAATGTTGCTAGCATGTTTGAGCATGTTTCTAACATGTTTAGCACACAATGGCATATTTTACTGTCTTGCTAATAGTGCATCACAGTGTTAAACATGTCACTTCCCATTGACAGTAGGTGGCGCTATGACTATAACTGAATCTTGGCATGTTGATGTGTTCAGGCCAGTACTCTCATCAAACATGTTAAGTTTCGGACAGATTGGACACTGCATGCCTGAGTTACATCAACTTCCTGTTTCACTGCATTGCTTTATTACTTAGCTAACTGTTGCTAGCATGTTTTAGCATGTTTCTAGCATGTTGCCAGCCTATTTAACACTTGCTGACGCTTTTTAATATGTTCCTAGGAGTCCATAACAGTGTTAACCATGACACTTCCTGTTGCCAGGAGGTGGCGCTATGACTATAACTGAATATGGGCATGGCCATGTGTTCAGGACAGAACACCTATCAAACGTGTGAAGTTTGGGGCAGATCGGACATTGCTTGTCTGAGTTACAGCAACTTCCCGTTTCATGGCGAAACATCAAATTTTGCCAGGCCGCCAGGGACATGCCCTTTGACGAAAACTCAAGATCTTCGCAATTTAACGTCACAAAGGCCTTATGATAACCCTCACCAAATTTGAAGATGATCATATTAAAACTGTAGGAGGAGTTCGTCAAAATACGAGGCCTGGAAATGGCAAAAACTGCACAAAAATCGTACAAAAAAATTCAAAATAACGTACTACCTGTTGGGTTTTATACCAAGAGACTTTTTTGAAGGTAATGGTGTGTTACATGTGTGTACCGATTTTCGTACCTGTACGTAAAACGTAGCTTGAGGCGCACTCCTTTGAAATTTGACAGGTGGCGCTATTGAGCCATTTTGCCACACCCACTTCTGAAACCCATATCAGATGTAAATTTTTGCCAGTTCTGATGTATGTGCATGAGTTTTGGAGCATGTTTAGGCCCTCAAAAATGCGATTCACTTTGGAGAAGAAGAAGAAGAAGAAGAAGAAACGGAGCAATTCCAATAGGGTCCTAGGCTCGGGCCCTAAATATCTTATATCCTAAATAATAGTCAATACAGAGAGAATTTGAATATTGCGATAATCTAGACTTCAAGTAGAAAAGGTAGAGAACCATTGCTCTAGTATATATCTGTCTACAGATATTCTGCAAGAACACATAATGGTTCACATGATGAATACTTCAGTCTAACACATGGAGCCTTAATAGTTTGTCATGCGGTAAAAGGATTTTTTGTATAGTTTCATATATATTGTGACTGACAGCACAATGACACTCTATTGAATCACTTTGCCGTGTGCTTATTCAAACCAGAAAGAATCATTTGTTCTTCTTTGCACATGATTGAATCAGCTCTGAATCACACAGGTGATGAGGAGGTGTGTTCCACAGACAGCGGCAGAAACTTCAAAGGACTTCAGAAAGCTATGGTTCCTTCACTGGAGTGTGTGATCTGACTTTGATGGTTATCCTTACGCATGTTTGAATCACCAGCTACTGCCTCTAATGTCCCGAGAACCGTACGGTTTCTTTGGTTATTATCTATACAGCTCCGGCTGCCGTTTCCACCCCAAACTCAGGAAGATCTTGGAGCAAAAACCGCTCTGTTTAGTTCAAATAATTATCTCCTCAAAACAAGCTTGCTGTCAGTCATCCTAATGTTTATTTATACATTCATTGTTATTTGTGCCTAATTCTGTTTTAGGTTTATCTGTAAGCTTTTTTCCCTGCCCTATTTTTCTAAACAGTTGCTATAGAAACATACCAGAAGGAAAGTCTTATTGAAGAATTTTCTCCAGTGCCAGATTGTTCCTGCAAAGCCCATCCTGGAGAACAGAAACAAGCTGGTTCTGGCAGGCAGGTTTAATAAGCTGTCCCAAGACACTCCACAACAACCCTTCACCTAAAGCCCCAGCAGTCCTGCATCACGGCATCTTCAGCACACCCCTCTCTCCAAAACACGTGTCATCCACTCCTGAGCAGCTCTGTGAACAGTGAGCAGTAATTGTATGATAATACAGAAGGTGCATTCAGTGCTGGGATGGTGCTGTTCCTGCTTGTTTTATTGAAAATGGTACACGGGCCACAAAAGAGACAGATTGCTCGGCCTGGTGGCTCCTGTTGCTGTATCATTAGCCAGCCCTAATTGGATATTAATGACTGTGCTTTTCCATTACAGCAAACGGCACACCTGACAACATTAATATTGTGGGGAGATAAGAGGAAACGGCCAAACTACCTCTGTGATTCCAAAAAGAGATGTGCTTAATGAACTAAAGGACTGATAGGGAAAAGGACTTCCTTTCTGTCAACAGAACCTTTTCCTAGGATGCCTGTACATGTTTTTAAGCATTTTTTCTGCAGCTAAAAAAAGAAAACTAATCTCAACTCAACTTTAAAATAAAATCTAAACTAAAGTTAAATGAAGATAAAACAATAAAATATAAAAGAAAAGAAAATGAAAAACTTAATTTAAGCGGAATCAGGGTATCTTCCGATCATTCGTTTTTTAATTTAATATTGAAATCTGAAAAATGAAAAAAAAAACGGCACATTTTTCATTTGTTCAAACAAAACGAAAAATCAATAATTTGGCTTCATTTTTCGTTTTTAGGTTCAGGGATAGAAAACGAATAAGTAACTTGAATATTCGATCTCTACATGTGGGCGGGAATGAAACGCCCCTCTCCGCTGATTGATCAACCAAACATTTAATGGTCTTAAAAAAAACATAATAAGAGTCCTCCACTTCTATGAATTCTTAATGTGTTTATTTCTACTACATTTTATCTCTTTCTCTTCATCAAACAGCAAGATTAACAAATGGCTTGACACAAACCGTATGGAGGCAGAGCCTAGACAGAAAATGTATTTTGTGTAGGCATAAATTCCGCAACCTACCCGTGAAATATTAGTTAATCTCATAAATATTAATTTACTTCGCACCTGCACTCACAACTACCTACTAGCCTAAATCTCTGGCACACCGCCTGAATTATTATAGCTAACCAAAAAAATGTACTATTAAAATCTGTGTGGCAAAGCTGTGCGATGCACTGCAGCGTGGGAAGAATGTATTGTAGACAAGCGCAGACCACTATTAATTTATGTGAACATAGGTAGTTTTAGACAATAAACTGAGTTTATTTAATTAATATTGAGTATTGGCCAGCTAACTGATGGCATACAAAATTGTTATTTTCTCTGTCAACTAAACGAAAGTCACAGAACCGTTGTGTGACTGACTCACAGCAGGCGCATAGAGTGGTGTATCATTTCTGAATGTATGAGAATGAGAGTCTTTGAAAAACCCATTATTATAGACAACAATGCAATTACCAATTATTATAGACAGCCGCTTGATTTTATTCCTAAATGAATGAATGAAGCATTTTGAACAAATTGATTGAACAAAAGGCTCCTTTATTAACACAATGACTTACCGCCACCTAGTGGCGATATTACTTTCATAATTCAAGTATCATTTCATTTTATTCATATTTCTGTAGAAAAGAAAAAAAATATATGTGCTGTGAAGGTAAATTACACAAAGTAATTTCTTCTCATATCTGTCATATTTAAGTTGCTCCTTTGTCTAAAACGCAGCGTATTGTCTAACACAAAAGCTATGACTGTATGTTCACATAAATTGATAGTGGTCTGTGCTTCACTACAATACATTCCGCCGCGCTGCAGTGTGTTGCGCAGATTTGCCACACAGGTTTTGATAGTTAGCTATAATAGATCAGGCGGTGTGCCAAAGGACCAAAGGCTCTGCCTCGGTACGGTTTGTGTCAAGCCATTCATTAATCTGGCTGTTTGATAAAGATAAAAAGATAAAATGTAGTAGAAATAAACATGTTAAGAATCCATAGAAGCGGATGACACTTATGTTTTTTAAGGACTATTATTATGTTGTAATGTTTGGTTGACCAATCAGCGGAGAGGGGCGTTTCATTCCCGCCCACATGTAGAGATCGAATATTCAAATTGCGTATAAATGAAGCCGGATTCTTGATTTTTAGTTTTGTTTGAACAATTGAAAAATGAAATATGTGCAGTTTTTCATTTTTCAGATTCCAATATTAAATTAAAAAGCGAATGATCAGAAGATACCCTGATTAAGCGGCTATGTGAGATGCTTTTCAAGTCCTGTACCAAAAATATTTAAATACATTTTGAAGTATCATTAACTGTGGCATTTAGCCCCAGACTACAATTAAACACTGCTCCAACATGACTCACGAGACAGACATCTCATAATCGATTTATATTATGAAGCTTATTGAATTACAAACATTTATTGTAAACCTTAATTTATCTTAAACTGCTGGGATAAAGTACATCATAACAGATTTCATATTAATTATTTAAAAATCTGAGTTTTCTTAAAAGCACTTTGTCTTTAGAATTCTTTCTTATACTTACTTGTAAACCTGATAGACAAAATCATGGACAATTCAGATGCCCTCACACCAACACACTCTTTGCTCAGCAAGGGATACATAATTGCCAATTAATGCAAGGCAGGTGCAAAGAGGAAATGAGAAAAAGGAGAGATGTTAAAAGCGATCCCAACACATTAGCCAGTCCCTCTTAGATCTGTAGTAAACAAATTCCCTTTAAATTAAATCCAACCCCTCTGAGGCCAATCATACCAAAGAATGAAGAGAATAACTTCAGTGAGGTTTAGCAAACTCACTAATTGCATTTTTAAATGAAGGTGAATTGTTTTTGTGCTAAAAGGTGAAATCTAATGAATCGGTCTTGAGATCAAAGAGCAGTTAAAGCCGAGTTTGGCTGCAAGAAAAGTATACACTGGCATGTTAGTGCACTCTTTGTTAAGAAATACTGTGCTTATTCAGAATGACTCTAAAAGATGAACACTAGGTGATATAGCGAGCAATCGAGACATATTTGTAACGATTTTGCTGAAGGGATTGAATTCCCATCCTTATGAAAGTGTTAAGACGGATGTTTCAATATAGTGTCTCTGATTTAAACTTAATTACCAAACAGTACAAGAGTTGGGAAGTTCAGTGCATTTCTGTGAATTAGTTCAAATTGTTTCAAAACTCAAGACTAAATCAAATTCTGAAAGATTTGCTTATGATTAACAAATGACTCTGAGTTGGCTTAAATTAATCAAACACATATAGTACAACCAGTGCAATCTGATTCACAAACAAACGGTTATCATGAATCTTTTTTTTTTTTTAAGTTACTAAGTTTCAAATCAGTCTGATGAATCCTTCACTGACTGAACAGAAAGTTACACATACACAATATATATATATATATATATATATATATATATATATAGTGAAGTACATATAAGAAAATATAAAATATACAGTACACACTGTTTCAAAGTAGCTTTACAGAAATTCACAATGTCAATGTTTATTATATCTTATAGTCACTTATAGAGCTGAATGATGGGATAATGTCCAACACCCTGTAGCTGTGACTATATTCGCTATATAACATGACCTCAAGCGTCTTACTGCTGAATTATCACAACAGAAATTTACATAGTTGATTTGGTTTAATTACACTGAAAAAATGGTAACATCTAAACTAGTTATATTTCAGTCAAAAATAATATTTAATATCGCTGAATCAACCTAAATATGTTCATCTGTATCAACAAAACAATTTTCATGGATTAAATCAGGTAGAATTAGCTTTTCAATATAATAATTACAATTTAGCACTTTTTACAGTGTAGGCAAAACGTCAAATGTTCTGTAGACACTGAAGCAGAACGATAAGACCGTGTGATTATATAACACATGTAATCACAACAACTGCAATGAGAAAAGAGTAAAAAGGCAAATCAAGTGGGCTGAAGTGCTTCACATTTTCCAGCCTTTGTCTCGAAGAGAGTTGCAGTCACCGATTAGTTAGCTCGGACATTTGTTTCAGGCTAATGGGGCATGAACGTGGAGGCAGTGCCGTCAGAGGCTGAGCTTAAAGACACTAATTACAGCCTCCTGCTGAGACGCCGTCCAC